TACCCAATTTTGCCCAGGTCCTTCCCCTTTTTGCCCCCCCCCCCCCCCCCCCCCCCCCCCCCCCCCGCAGAATGCCCTGCAGTGATTCAATGAATGTTGAATTATGTTAACCAAATATGTGTACATGTATATGTATAGCCATGCATAGAACTGTCCTGAGCCAACATAATTCCATTTGCATTAAATTATCAGTGAATCTTTATGTTGGATTCTGCGGAACACAAAAATATACATACAGCTACAATTAGAAGATAGTCTTCTAAGGTTTGGTGTCTGGGGTTGAATTGTTGGGTTTTGAAAAGTGAACAAGGCCTTCATCCAGGTTTGTTGTCTTTAATTTGGAAATGCAATATAGGAATGCCCTGTAACAATTGTAGAAAATATTTTTTTCCTTGTTGCTGTCATCTCTCAAATTAATGAGCTCCACAATTTGCCAACTAGTCATGTTGTTGTGTACAATTTTATAAGTCTTTAAAACACTTAATGTAAATTTCTTAGTTATATGTATTTCTATTCTCACATAATGGGCTATTTATTCATCTTCTAGTGACTGCCACAAGGTGGCAGGCGCTTGACTTTTTTACAACTTTAAAGAGCATCCAAACAAGTGATATTAAATAGTTTTGAATTAATTTTAATAGTTCATTTAATAAAAATTGAGATTGCTCATAGCGCAAACAAAAAGGAAGAATTTAGTCAAATTTTAGTTATCGAATTTTTACCAGGTTAGAATAAACAGTACATAACATTATCTTCACTCACAGCATTGCAAAATGTGGCTGCTACCTAGGTCAAACCTTGTCAAAAGACTGTGTTTGCTAAAGGGTAAACACTATGCGCTGGTAGTACACACCCAGGAGCTTTCTGGATGAGCAGCCCATTATGTTCTTCTTCACCTGGAGGAAAGAAAATCAGGCAAAGTTGCAAGAAAGGCGTACAATGAAAAGTACAAATAAGGAATGTTTTGGACCATGTAACTTATCCAATGCTCTTTCCATCTCACAATCTTAACTGTATCTTAAATAAGAGTATTTGCCTACTGGAAATTGCACTTTCTAGAAGTTGACCATGTGAGATGAGATACTGGAAGGACAGCACATGTAGCAAACAAGAGATTTGCAAAAATTAAAAATATTACTTTATCTAATATACCAAAGAATCAATATTTAGAAGCCTCCTCCAAGCCATTTTGATTTTGTTCAATTTGTCATGTAAATGAAACTGCTCACTTTACAGGACTCAATGCTGGTCGGTCTGCACACTTGTGGTGATCTTGCCTCGGATACCTTGCGCATTTTTGTTACTAAACAGGAACTCAAAGTTGTTTGCAGTGTGGGCTGTTGCTACCATCTTCTTTCAGAAGAGTTTGAATTGTCAGGTGACCACAAAGGTAATAAAACATCTCGTATACTAAATGGTATAACAAACTTGTGGTATTAGCAAACTAAAAGATGAATTTAAATTAAAAGAACTGTGGATGCTGTAAATCAGTTCTGAGGAAGGGTCACTGGACAAGAAATATTAACTCTGATTTCTCTCCACAGATGCTGCCAGACCTTCTGAACTTTTTCAGCAATTTCTGTTTCTGTAAAACAAAATTCATCTTCTAAGAATTTTTGAAAAATGGAAGTGACAGACATTTGCCTTTTGCTGAGGTATAAGGCCATGGAAGTATATAAATCTGAGCACTGGAATTTAAATTGATGCCATTGGACTAGGAGCCAAAGTGATGACATGGTTAGGGTGATTGCATAAGACAACAAACAGTTAAGAAGTTTCAGTTGATATGTATGGACTTCAGAGTTTGGAGTCTGGTAAGATGCATATTCATGAGTTGAGTTTGACTGGAACAAAGGAGTGGGTGAGGATTAGACAGCAAATGGATAAGACATATAGTATGATGGACATTGATGCATACTTGAAAGTAGTTGACCAGTATGATGGATACAAAATGGTGCTATGTGCTCAACATGGAGTAAAATTGGAAGCTGAAGTTCTACTAGTTTGATTCAGGCTGAGAAAGGTTCAATGGAGAGTAGAAATAGAAGTAGAAATCAATGAAATGGGGGTAGAGATTGAGGTGGAGATTGAAGACAGTGACGCTAGTTTCTCAATACTTAGCTAAAGGACATAGCAGTTCATCCATTTCTGTATGTTGGACAATGAGTATAACATCACAGACACAGCTGGGAGGTTTGGAAAGTGCAAGGAGAAGAAGAGCTGGATGTTTTTGATATATTTGGATAAATTAAGTTACCCACATGCTGATAAAACCAACCGCAACCACTTTGGCTCTTAATGGCAACTATTACCTCAAATTAACATGCCCAGCTGCAATGCAAGGCTTAGTTTGGAGATGAAAAATCTTTGATACTCAGTTTATTGCTTTAGCTCACCTCCTTCCTCATCCAACTGATTGCCAGTGTAATTCCTCACACATTCAAGATTATGCTGACTATCTGCAGAATCACATCAAACGCTACGCCCTGCACTGCAAGTTTATTGCGAACAGCTGACCAGACATCCTGTTTGGGACGATTTGTGGTCTTTGGAACTTGCATCCTATATCATACCATCACCAAGATTCACTGTTTTTTCTCTGAAATATTGATTACTTTTGTCTTGTCATCCACCACTTCAAAAATCTTATCTTTTCTCATCAAGCTGCGTGCCTTCTCCAATTTTGCCTTGCTGACCATGACTCTCAGTAGCGTGCAGCTTATCTGAAAGGCAGCAGGCCATGTCACCTTCTTGGTAAACACTTGCACATCCATACAAAGACCTGTTGCTCCCTGTGCTACTTATTCACATGTAAAAGGACCAGGGATGGTCATTCAGTTTACCTTTCAGTTATGGTTTTAAAATTCTTACTCTTGCTTTCGTATGCCTCCATAAAACTTGGTTACGCAGCCTCAGTAAACTCAACCTTCCGGCCATCATCCCTGTGTACACCCTGGTTACTCCATCGTTGCTTGTCCTTCACATCCATCATATACTATAAATACCATTCCGAAACCTCCTAACAGTTTACTTCTTTATTCTATCTTTCCAGACTAAACTGAGGTAATGTCTTTCAAATGTTTGTGCAACAAGTGAAGCTAGTTGTTTCACATTGCTACTATGCAGTAGCAACACGAGTGGCCACCATAAACAGGATACTGCATTCAAACCAGAAAGATGTTTTGCCTATCATACAAATGATTAATGTGGTATATGACCGTCAGTGCTGGCATGATGCCAGATATATAGAATGCAAGTCCCATTGGCTGTTCACAACAAGCAAAGTACCATCCACAGCCAAACAGCCTCTGCTTGCAAATCCTGCAATGCAGTGCCTACCATTAGATGTGATTCTGCGAATGGATAATTTTTGCTGGATAATTTTGAAGTGCAAGGAATTATGCTGACAACTTGAGTCAGGCTCACAGTTAAAAGTTCTGGAAGCTGTGTAAATTAACACATAGGACCATGTAGTTTGCAGACAGAAAGGATAAGTACATGAACTGCACCTGTTTCAACTGAACAAGATGGGTGACAACCCATTCGCTGGTTCATTTCTTATGGCAGTACCCTGACCAATCAGAATAAACTGGTTTGGTTTAAAGTGTAAAGAAAGCCTGGCTGTTAACTGTCAATTAGCATGAATGCATGCATTCTCCAAGGCAATGCTTTTATTAACCAGAATCTTCTTGTCAACCAATTGACATTCTCCTTTCATACAGTATAAATGTTAGTTTTCTGCTTGAGTTGGCATTCTTGTAAAATATCCTGTTTTGTACAAGACAAAAAACTTCTTCTTAGTATGTCTTTGCAATGCAGTCCCAACCTCCCTTAATTATGCTGTTTTCTAACTTGCATTTCTTTCCCTTGTTCGCTCCTATTTAATTGCATTTTCATTCCTACATCTTGTAAAATGCTCCCAAGAACCATTTTTATGCCAGGAATGCTATAGAAATGTAAATTTGTGAAATATAAGAATTTTACAAAAATTGTTTTCAAGGTAACCAGAACTATGAGTCATTGATTGCACCTATCTATCAACTTTTATTTGCCATTATCTTTGGATAGAGTGACGGGTACTTTGTATTAGTTTTCATGGTGGAAGACGCCAGCAGCATACCAGAACTTCAAGAGTCAAGGGGCAGAGGGGAGTGTAGTGGCCATCACTAAGGTGAAGATGCTGGGAAAGCTGAAATGTCTGAAGGTGGATAAATCACCCAGACCAGATGGACAACACCCCAGTGTCAAGAAGGAGATAGCTGAGGAGATTGCAAAGGCATAGGTGGTGATCTTTCAAGAATCATTGGAGTCAGGGAGGTGCCAGGGACTGGACATGGCTAATGTTACACCCCTGTTTATGAAAGGAAGGAGGCAGAAAACAGGAAACTAGGCCGGTTAGCCTAACCTCAGTCACTGGTAAGATGTTAGTGTCCATTATTAATGATCAGATTGCAGAGTACTTAGAAGTGCAAGGTAAAATAGGGCTGAGTCAACACAGCTTTGTCAAGAGGACGTCATTCCTGATAAATCTGTTCGAATTTTTTGAGGAGGTAAAGAGCAAATTAGATAAAGGTGAGCCAACAGAAATGATATATTTGGATTTCCAGAAGACCTTTGACAAGGTGCCATGCAGGAGCCCCTGGTGTTAGGGGCAAGATACTGACATGGATAGAGAATTAGCTGACTGGCAGAAAGCAGATAGTGAGGATAAACAGGTCACTGCAGCCAGTGATTTGTGGAGTTGCACCAGGGTTTGAGTCAGGACCACAACTATTCATGTTATACATTAACGAACTGGACAAAGGAACTGAGCGCATTGTTGCTAAGTTTGCAGATGCCATAAAGACAGTTGGAGGGATGGGTAGTGTTGAGGAAGTGGGCAGGCTCTTGAACAGGCTAGGAGAGTGGGCAAAGAAGTGACAGATGGAATACAATATGTGAAAGTGTGAAGTTATGCACTTGATACTAAGAATAGAGGCACAGATTATTTTCTGTATGGGGAAGATGGAAATCTGAAGCATAAAAGGACTTGGGACTCCTAGTTCAGGATTCTCTAAAGGTTAAAGGGCAGGTTCACATTGGCAGTTAGGAAGGCAAATGCAATGTTAGCATTCATTTCAAAAGGACTTGAGTACAGGAGCACAGATGTACTGTGAAGTTTTAAATGGCTCTGGTCAGACTGCATTTGGAATATTGTGAGCAGCTTTTAGGCTCCATATCTAAGGAAGGATGTGTATGCCTTGAAGTGGGTCCGGACGAGGGGATGAAGGGCTTGTCATATAAGGAGTGGTTGAGGACACTGGGTCTGTACTCAATGGAGTTTAGAAGGATGGGGGGGATCTGACTGAAAATGACAGAATACTGAGAGGCCTGCATGAAGTGGATGTGGAGAAAATGTTTCCACTAGTAGGAGATATGAGGATGTGAGGTTACAGCCTCAGAGTAAAGGGACAAAGATTTATAAAACCACGATCAGAAAATGAAAAGTAGCTATTGCTGAGTCTAATCTGTGCATCTGAATTTTCGCAATTGGGATTAGCACACCAACACAGATAAGCGATTGGACCTAAATTCTGTTTCTTAAGTTATATGATGAATGCCACACACTGTGATGAATTTATCCACTGAGCCATGATGGGAGCTTTTCATTAATACATTTACCGAAAAATGTCCAAATTGCAGCTAACAGGCTCAAAACTGAAAAGCCATGAAATAAACCTCAGAGCATCTTTTTGATTTTCTGAATAAATTATCTGAGAATTAAGCTGTGTATCAGAGCTAGCATAATTTATATAATGATGTGATTTTAATTTAAGTTTGTTTTCATGTTATTAAGTTTTTGCAAGGCAACCTCATATTGGGGATTTGCATCCAAAGTTAGGCAAAGTACCTGTCCAGGTGCCTTCAGGAAATGGAAGTGTATTATAAAAAATGGATTGCGTATTCATACCATAGGCACTGCACTGTAGCTCAATTCTGAACTTTGAAAATGTTGGCCATGAGATTTGGCTGCTTTAATTGGCAACTCAACTACAGAGAGATTCATTGGTCAATTGTCACATTTTACAGGTTATTTTAAGAAGGACTGTTGATCAAGGGACAGGTAAAATCTAGCCAATAAATCTTTAGAAAGAAAACAACACTCCAGAAGAAACCTTTGATTGTTTTGGTAATAGGATTGTCCAAAAGAAAATGTTGGTTTGGCAATTCATGAAGATAATTTTGTACAAAAACAGAAGTTGCTGGAAAAGTTCAGCAGGTGAGGCAGCATCAGTGAAGAAAAGTATCAGACTTCACGTTTCAGGTCCAGTGACCCTTCCTCAGAGAGGATAAACAAGCATTTCGGTCAGCAAAAGGGATGAACAGATTAGAGAAAATGAACCACTTGTG